CTCCAAAGAGAAAGGAAAACTTGAAATCGCATCATATGACCCCTTTAAATCTGTTATGTACATTTGAAAAGCAGCCACGGGTTTATGCTCAAACAGCGAGTTTACACACTAACTAACGTTAAAAAAGTGAAATCGCAATGAACCACCCCTTTAAAAGCTGAATTTCTTTTAACCGGAGTGCTGCATTTTTAGTAATGCAAGCACAAGTCAAAGATGTCCATCTAGCGTGTGTTTACATAGAAAAACAAAGGGAAAGTAGTGCAGTGGAATGGAAAGACACGTTCTGTGCGAATGGCTCCTTATACCTATAATGTTGAGGTCAACATTACACAGTGGGTCTGTTTCAAAACCTAGTGAGATCCCTTCATAGGCAGCACTGTGGATTCACACCAATAGCGCTCCTAAGTTAAAGGGGTCATGAACTGAGAAAATCTCAATTATTTTGATCTTTTGAGGTCATTGTACTAAAAAAAAACATCCTGTAAGTTTCAGAACTCAAAACTTTCTCGTTAGTCTAAAAACAGCTTATATTGAAGGCAGTCAGCCAAAATGACAGATTGTGGAATGTGCCACTTTATGACATAATAGTGTGGCTAAACACCGCCTCCGCAGAAGATGATCAACGCCTGCTTCTACATCACTGCCTGTTTAGCCACGCCCACTGATTCGTGCAAATAATGAGAGAGGCAAACGCAGGTCTACGCAGAAACCAAATGATAAAGAAGCTCCGAAGACAACAAGACGTTGTGCAGTGCTTTGCATTGCCTTCCTTCTGATCCCTACGTTTGGAAAGAGTGGATGAACTTTATTTTTAATGAAGATCCAGACCACATCAGTAGGAACTCAGTCCTTTGTTCACTTCATTTTAGCACGGATTTGTTTACAAACAAGGCACAATTTGACGCGGGATTTTCAGAAAGACTGAATCTGAAAGACAATGCTATGCCGACTATATTGGATCCGACAGTAATGTCGCAACACAAGTGTGAGTAACTGTTTTTATTATGTGGTCACTATTGCTTTGTCTGTTATTACAGAGTATTTATGTGTTTTTAACCTAAATCACAGCAGCGTCCATCTGTGAAGGACGTAGGCTGTCAAACATACACAACTGTTAGCCAATCATAGCAGTGGGCGTTTACTTTCGAGTCTACAATCTGCCACGCCTATTCAAACAGAACGTTCTGATGAGGGGGGTTAAAAACAGGACTGAAAATAGCTTATTACTTCTAAATTATGTTTTTTGGTGTAAAAATCGAAGCTGCACATCAGGGACCAAAAACGTCAAGGTAGCTTTGATTTCATTCAGACGTTATTTAAAAAAAAAAATGCATAGTAAAATCTATTTGTAAATAAAGAACCATTGAAAAAATGGCTGCGCAATACAGAATACCAAAAATAGAAACAGAGAAAAAAATAGAAAAATGGAAGGTTTCCATCAAAAGGAGCTTCAGTCACTTCCAGTGGACACGGCTTTGTGAGCGATTTAGTGGTCGTGCATCATGGGACGCCACCTGCGTCTGGTGTAGACATGGTGTGACCTGTTAAGCAGCAGAGTGACATGCTATACTTCATATAAAACTATTTTAAACAGAAATAATAATTGCATTATTTTTTAAGGACTGCAAAAAAGTTGAAAGGTGATAACAAATGGTAAAAAGCATCTAAAAAAATACAAACTTTGCCTTTTAAATTCATACAAATGTAAACCTAGCGTCTTAAAAGTTCATGTTCATGTTATTTAACAATCCCAGTACTTGTTCTGGCCATTCTAAAACTGTTTTATCATGTTTTCAAGCCCCTAAAACCTGCATCTAATGCATCGGCTTCACCTCAGAGCAACAGATCTGCTGTATCTCCCGTGGAGAGCTCTGTTCCCGTTCCTCCGCGCATTCGGAAAGGAATCATCCGTTCAGCGGGAAGCTTCATTTCCAGCCACACGCTTCCTAAAATCTCCTAATCCCTTCAGTTTTGTTGTAGCTCACGATTTCACGCCCTGCTAAACTCCACCGCAACAAATCAGGTGTCTGGTGAGGCACGCGAGCCGCGCTCCTCTGATGTCCCTGCGAGAAACCCCCGCTGCGAATGCCAGACGGGGAGCCTACAAAACAAAACCACAGACTTTCAAACTTACCCATAAACATGCTCTCCATGGTCATCATGCGTCCAGATCTGTGGCATCCCCGTGTAACGCTGCCGTCAAGAGTGAATCCATGATCTCATCTGTGCATGTGGGAACAGGGACCACGTGTCCCTGCGAGAAACCCCCGCTGCGATTGCCAGATGGGGAGCCTACAAAACAAAACCACAGACTTTCAAACTTACCCATAAACATGCTCTCCATGGTCATCATGCGTCCAGATCTGTGGCATCCCCGTGTAACGCTGCCGTCAAGAGTGAATCCATGATCTCATCTGTGCATGTGGGAACAGGGACCACGAGGACTGCAACAACACCTTGCTAGTTTTCTGTCCCTCTCTCTGTGTGTGAACAGAGATCCCACTTCAGAGAAACTCTCAGTCTCGCTCTCGCACCTCCGTCCTCAGCCGTGTGTCAGAGCGCTGTAATCTGACTCCTGGTGAAGCAGTTCTCTCCGGCGTGCCGATATCAGCGTCTCTGGCGGGAGTCGAGCCACGGCTGCTCATTTGTTCTGTCTGAGTGTTCCTCAGGCACTGCTCTCTCTCTCTCTCTTATCTCTCGTTCGCTCTTCCAGCACCTCCCTACTTCATCTATCATGCTTGCTCTCTCTCTCTCTCTCTGTCTCTACACAGTTATCTAGTGATGTCCTCATAAAGTAACCTGGAGTTTTATTTCTACTTTATTTTAATAATTTATCTAGTAAGAAAATGTGAGCGTTTGATTTGCTGCAGAAGAAGTCACTTGTCATGGTGCAAAAGTGTTTGGCAGGGCATTACTAGGGTTTTTTTTTTGGCTGTGGTGTTGCTCGACAGTTGCTAGGGTGTTTTGGCTGGTTGCCAGGGTGTTCTGTTTGGTCGCTATGGCGTTGCTACCATGTTCTGCATGGGTGCCAATTTGCTTTAGGTGGTTGCTAGGGCATTCTGGGTGGTTTTTCTGCTGTTCTGTTTATGTTGTTGCTATATGGTAGCTACCATGTTCTGAATTGTTGCTAGGTTGCTCTAGGTGGTTGCTAGGGTATTCGGGGTGGTTTCTCTGTTGTTTTGTTTGTTATGTTGCTGCTATATGGTAGCTATGGTATTTTCTGCTGTTCTGTTTATGTTGTTGCTATATGGTTGCTAGGTTGTTCTAGGTGGTTACAAGGGTATTATGGGTGGTTTCTCTGCTGTTCTGTTTATGTTGTTACTATATGGTTGCTAGGTTGCTCTAGGTGGTTGCTAGGTTATTTTCTGCTGTTCTGTTTATGTTGTTGCTATATGGTTGCTACCATGTTCTGCATGGTTGCTAGGATGCTCTAGGTGGTTGCTAGGGTATTCTCTGCTGTCCTGTTTGTTATGTTGTTGCCACCACATTCTGCATGATTGCTAGGTTATTCTAGGTGGTTGCTAGGGTATTTTCTACTGTTTATGTTGTTGCTATATGGTTGCTACCATGTTTTGCATGGTTGCCAGGGTATTTTCTACTGTTCTGTTTATGTTGTTGCTATATGGTTGCTACCATGTTTTGCATGGTTGCTATGCTGTTCTATGTGGTTACTGGGGTATTTTGGGTGGTTTCTCTGCTGTTTTGTTTATGTTGTTAGTACATGGTTGCTACCATGTTCTAAATAGTTGTTAGGTTAATCTAGGTGGTTGCTCAGGTGTTTTCTGCTGTTCTGGTTATGTTGTTGCTATATGGTTGCTACCATGTTCTGCATGGTTGCTAGTTTGGAAGGTGTGGTTACTAGAGTATTCCGGATGGTTTCTCCACTGTTCTGTTTATGTTGTTGCTGTGTGGTTGCTACCATGTTCTGCATGGTTGCTAGGTTATTCTGAGTGGTAACTATAGTATTCTGGCAGGTTTCTATACTGTTGTTAGGTTCTCCCGAGTAGTCGCTATGGTGTTACAACAGTCTATGGTTGCTTCTATCTTCTGGATGGCCAACAGTCTATGGTTGCGTCTATCTTTTGGATGATTGCCAAGTTGTTACTATGGTGTTGCTAGGCTATTCAGGCTGGTTGCTAGAGTGTTCTCTGTGGTCGCTATGGCATTGCTAATTTGGTGCTACCATGTTCTGCATGGTTGCTAAGGTTGTACTAAGTGGTTTCCACACTGTTGCTAGGGTGTTGTTGTTGTTTGCTATGGTGTAGCTAGACGGTCAGTAGCCTGCTCTGGCTGGTTGCTAGGGTGTTCTGTGTGTTTATTATGCACGCTAGATAGTTGCTCGATAGTTCTGGGTTCTTAAAAGATTATTACAGCTGGTTACTAGGCTGTTGCTAGATGGCTGCTAGCATCTTTAGGATGGTTGCTAGGCTGTTGTGGGTGGTGAACAGCACATTCCAGGGCCCAGTTTATGGCGGGGCCCCACTTTGACCACAACAGTGGACAACGGTTTGCTACATTTTGATTGGATCTTGGTGGACCAACATAAGCAAACTGTCCAACGCCATCAGATAAAGATGCTAAGACAATGGCCAGACACCTCTTTGAGGGCAAGAAGAAAACCTCTGGTACTAAGCCCAGGAAGGACAAGACTTCTCATTGGTCCACATGCAGTTTCTGCCCTTCACCCATCTAGAGACAAATGCCTAAGGTTTTGGCCTGTGACCGCCATAAAAATTCCTCAGGACCTCTGGATGCAGCAGCAGTAGCTGAAAAAAGACATACATCCAAATCCATTCTTAACTGTGTTTGGCAACCTTAAAACTGATGCAAACTACAACACATCCATTACATATTTATTCAGAGAAATAAGTATTCTCAATGGCAGCTATGAATAATGCATCTGTAAAACTTCAGTGACACTTTTCTAACTGTATGTTTGAACTATGCCAGTGTTTCTCCAGTGTTTTACCACCTCAAGACATTGCCATTAATGTAAAAATATACCTCATTGTCATGTTCTAGCCAAGATTTATCTTTAAATAATAATTGAAAATTTTATGCCCTTAATGTTGTGGCAGTTTTTCCCCATTGTATCAAAAATGGTATCGAATATCAGTATTTTTCAAGTTATTTTATCAAAGTTAGAAATTACAGTATCATGACAACACTAAAAAGCAGACTGACCAAGTTCTAAATCCCCAGCCCTGAGAAGCAGAAGACATACATGCATTTGAAACAAGACTAAGCTCAGTTGAGCAAACCTTTAAGGTACTTTCATCTGCATGTCCCAGATTAAGGAGTTTCTGCACCTACTTCAGGGCCTCATCTGCGTGTTCCAGATTTTAGGAAAGTTTGGTGCAGCATCCACAACACTTCAGGTTCAGGGTATAGGGATGTGCACAAATAGTAGAATATTCGATCTGTAATTATTATTCGAAAAATAAAAACACTTTGCCTCTCTCGTTATTTACACTATGTGCGCAAATCAGTGGGCGTGGCTAAACAGGCAGCGATGTAGAAGCAGGCGTTGATCATCTTCTGCGGAAGCGGTGATTAGCCACACTATTATGTCATAAAGTGGCACATTCCACAATCTGTCATTTTGGCTGACTGCCTTCAATATAAGCTGTTTTTAGACTAACAAGAAAGTTTTGAGTTCTGAAACTTACAGGATGTTTTATAGTACAATGACCTTTTATATGTCAAAAGATCAAGAGAATTTTGATTTCTCAGTTCACGACCCCTTTAATTAAACAAATTTTTTAATATAAATTTTTTATGAGCACAAATATTTGAAAAACAATATTTTGGAAAAATGCACATCGCTAGTTCAAGGCTGCTGAAATGGATTCCTCACTGCATTGTTACCCACACAACCACTGGAGAAGTCGCTGCCATGAGTTGCTCACTCGACCAACATAAATATCACTTATCTTTCCAGAGACGTTGGTATTGTTGTATATTAGTGGTATATGCTTTTCTAATTTACATTAGAAAAATGTGCTCTGGCTCGTTGCTAAGGTGTCGAATGTTCTAGGTCATTGCTAGAGTATTCAATCTGGTTGCAAGGTTGTTGCTGCACTGTTGCGATTGTGTTGTGGGTGGTTTGCAGCAGTTGCTTACTAGTCTAGTCTCTAGATGTGGCTCAGGTCCCTGATTTATAGGCCTCTTTGCTGGTTAACATTTGCTAGCGCGACAGAAGTCTAAACACTAACACACTGCATCAGACTATATCAATCAATATACAAACTCAAAACAGACTAAACTCAAAATACAAACTATATAAGTCAATGGCAGTATATAAATAACCAAGAAAACATGTCTGCATAAGATCTTAGGAGAATATGTCATCGCAGACACAAAAACACACGTACACTTGACCTTGATTCGCTCTTGGCTCTCACTCAGATCTTTCCTTGATTGGTTCACTGCAATTCTTTCTGAAGGTCAGGAGGAATTGACCGTTCGAAAGCCGCCCGTATGTACTGCCTACAAATCAGAGGCTTTGCTTGCAAACAACAAAACAAACACGTATGCAGAGCAAAAACAGATCGTAACGTGCTCTCATCCACTTACGGAGTTCAAGAGAAAGGAAAAACAAAACACTAACAAAAAAGAGAGCGACAACAGAACACATTGCCTCTACGGGATGCGCGTTACGCTCGCCTGCAGCTAGGAGACGGAAGATATTTTGCATCGTCGCACAGATGTTTTCAATTAATCCCAAATTCCCAATCGCTCCCGTGCCTCTCGTCCCGCCTCCAGCCGGCTGCGAGTAAATACATTTTTTCCGTATCTATAGCTGCCGAGCCTCGCTCATCCGGCTCCGCTCGTCCGGGCTGGCAAATGTGTTTTTTAACCTTGACTCGGAGGTGTCACTGCTGAGATAGAGCATTATTTGTCACCATGAATAGCATTTAACAGCAGCTGTGCCCAGAGGAGCCCACGGTGAACCACATGCAAAGTGCAGCATGGGAAACTTCATTAATCTCTCTGTCACTTTCATGACGCTTTTCATTAGTTACACTGCTACCTGATCAACTGGGAGGTTGTGTGTGTTTCTGAAGCTCTAAACAGTTTCTGCGACAGAGATCTGAGATACACAAAAGAGGATGAGAGAGTTAACTTACTTCTCTGTGACTAACCAGTGCTGTGTCCCACAACCAGAGGCGGACAATAACGAAGTACATTTACTTGAGTATTGTACTTAAGTACACTTTTTGAGTATCTGTACTTTACT